GCTGGGCATAAGATTGAAAACTCTGTGTAGAAGGAAAAAGAGATACCAAAATGAGTTAAAATTAAAAGAGATCGAAGAAAAGTTTAAAAACAAAGAGGTGAGGTCGTTCTATCAAGAAGTTAAAAAGATGGGAAAAGGTTACCAAAGCCACTGTAGTTCTATGAAAGGTAAAGACGAAAATTTAACTAGCGATCCAGCAGAAATAATGATGGAATGGAAAAAACATTTTGAAGAACTCTTAAATGGTGAGGTGGACCACGAAGCAGTAGACAACTGGACGGTTGAAGAAGATGCGATAGTTGAAAGGCAGCCTACAGAGGAGGAGGTGGTGACAGCAATACATGAAATAAAAAATAAAAGAAGTCCAGGTAAAAGTGACATATGCATAGAAATGATCAAGTTTGGTGGAGAACAACTACAAAGAAAAATATATCAGCTACTAGTGCAATTATGGGAAAAGGAAATTATGCCATCGGAGTGGTATGAAGCCCGCATATACCCTCTGCATAAAAAAGGAGACAAACTAAAGTGTGACAACTATAGAGGTATAACCTTACTCGACACGGTGTACAAAATCTTGGCAAGAATATTGAGAAATAAACTAGATTGCTACACGGAAAGATCCTACATGAGTATCAGGCCGGCTTTAGAAAGGACAGATCTACTGTAGACCAAATCTTCTCATTAAAGGAGATACAAACGACTTGTTATGAAGGTAATGTTCCCCTGCATATTTTGTTTGTGGATTTTAGACAAGCCTATGATAGAGTCGATAGAATCAAAATGTATCGAGCAATGGAACATTTGGATATACCAAAGAAACTGATCCGGCTAGTAAAAATGACATTAAATAACTCTAAGTGTAAAATTACGTGGCAGGGTCACATATCAGATCAATTTACGGTTGCAAAAGGCTTGAGATAGGGAGATCCTTTATCCACTACATTATTCAACTTAGTGTTAGAAACTGTAATAATTAGAAAAAGCAACATGAAGGTGGAAGGAACAATCATGAAAAATGAGCACCAGTGCTTGGCATTTGCTGACGATTTAACGATCCTAGCAAAAACCGAGAAAGAATTAAAAAGAGTTGTAAAGAAAATCATCGAAGAAGCACAAAAATTCGGATTGGAACTAAATGAAGACAAAACCAAATATATGATCATGTGAGGAACAGAAGGGAAAAAAGAAGACTTTAGTGTGAGGTCTGTAAGTGGTAAAACCTATAGTTTTAAAAGGGTGTACAAATTTGAACACCTGGATGTAGTTTTCGATAAAAATAAAAAAGAGGAATGGGAGCTGGATGCCAGAATAACAAAAGGGAATAAAAAAATGGGTAGTTAGAGCCCTACTGAACTCAAAATGCGTTTCTAGGCAAGGTAAACTCAGAATATATAAAACAGTAATTCGACCCACAGTAACATACGCCGTTAAGACATGGATATTAAATAAGAAGGAAGAGGATATTCTGGAAAGATGGGAAAGGATAATACTGAGACGCATATTCGGAGGACGGAAGACAGAAGATGGTTGGGAGAGAAGAACCAACAATGAAATAATGGCTTTATACAAAGAACCTACCATTACCAAGTTCGTCAAGTCACAAATAATCGGATGGTTGGGATATGTGGAAAGAATGGAAGCAAACAGAATGCCCAAACTAGTAATAACCAGAAAACTAATCGGCCCCAAAAGAAGAGGTAGACCCAGAACGAGGTGGATTAATAAAGTGGAGGAAAACCTTAAACACGTGAAGATAAGGGACTGGAAAAGAAAAGCACAAAATGGAAGCGAATGGAGAAGTATTGTCCACCAGGTCCTTCAGAGTAATTAAGAATGTTGTATACACATATTTAAGTTAATGTTTTGTTTAAAATAATTAAATTAATTAAAATAATAAGTAATTAGATAATATTAGGATTATGGTTACAAAAAATGCCATAGGCCTTAACGGCCTGTTGTGCGTAAAAACAAATAAATAAGTTGCTGGGCTATAATCTGTGGCAAGAATAAATCATTACAAATAAAAGATATCTATAAAAATAAACTATGTATAATGGAGATTAACCTTTTTCTAAATACAAAACAAACTAATGTAAAAAAAATAATAATAACACTTGCTGTCATATGTCAACATTAACAGCTAAGACCACGCCCTAATATTTACAATAATAATTATCAAAATTTAAACTGTTATGAAAAGAAGTATTATTATTAGAAAAAAAATGTCTATCTTCACTTTAAAAATTAAACACAAAAAGTTACCTGATTTCACTGTAATGCACTTTAACTTTAAATTTCTGGGGGTTACCTTCTCTGCCACACGATCAAATCCATCTCCAAACTGTGAGAGATACTCTGAGATGGCTGCTTCTTAGAGCAAATACAAACTTGGGGTTGAAAGTTTGGAACACAAACTTTGGACTGGGCTTCTTAAAAAACAGGAATATATAAAACTGGACACAATGGCAACATGTGGTTATCTTTCGAAACTGTTGCAGGCGACACAAATCTCTTAGGTACTTAAAAAAATAGAAATAGTCATGACTCTTTTCTAAGCTTACATATTACATATTTCACTACTTTCGACAAATTTTGCCGGTTTCTGACCAACTCACTAAATACGTCCGTTCATTCGCGTTACCCTTTTCAACCTTAAATTCGACCTTCGATCGATCTCTCATGTATCGGCCGGCTCCTATGCCACCCTTTTTTTCCTAAACAACTTTATCCGACCTACCTAATACCGACCGGGCTAGCAGTTTTCCTTACCTTCCCACCATTTCTTAATTTTATTTCTTTTCCATCATTTCTTTCACAAACCTACATTTTTGTTAGACCGCTTTAAAACTATCTCGCAAAACGACCTTGAATCTGTTCTCGGACGCGACTAGTTCACGTTCGAGACGCATCGCCTTGCCCTTATTTTTCCCTTTGGCCCCTCCCTGACCTGGAAATCCCCAATCGCTACTTCAGAAAGTATAAAAATAGGCGATTTTCAGGTCAATCAAGTCAGTCCTTCACGGGCTCTCCAAAAGCTTGGTGCTCTTGGGGCTCTGCTTTTTCTTTTAGCCTACCCTATACTCTGTGGCTGAGATTTTTATTCAACTTTAAACTTAGTGTTTTATTTCGACTATTTAGTCGTGTAAGAAATATCTTGCCTTTGTCAAGGCAAGCCACCATAGACTGCATCCTGATGTTTATTTCGACTTATAAGTCATGTAAGAAATAGCTCGTCTTTTTCAAGACGAGCTCATCAGAAGAAAACCTTTTACGAATCCATACCCCGCAAATGGATTCAAGTAGAGGGGCTTTCGTCGACGTTTCCGAAGCCCTCTACAGAGCACACGGTGGTACAGAAGGTGCTTACCTTTCCATTTACCCCGAGGTGACATGGCGCCCGACAACGTGGTTAAAATCCGCACCCACGACCTAGCTTGACTCACAGCAGAAGGCTACAGCCATTGACTTCAACATGGGATGAAGTCAAGAGAAGAACGGGGAGAATCACGGAGTGTTAGAATGCTATCTGACACTCAGACATCGAGGCCTTCTGCAGACCGGATGCCTTCGACGTGCAGGCGACTTTGACGAGCCAGCCTTCTTCGAAGTCAGAAGCCCCAGATGCCAACGGAAGTCCCGGAGCAGACCCAGTCATCCCCCCCTACCGAAAGTGGTTAGACGACCACGTAGGCTTCGGCACCCTGGTACTCTGCGAAACCCCGTTGGATATGGCAGATGGGATCCGGACGACCGAGAAGAAGACGAACCCGTTGGAGGAGTCGACACACCGATCGAGAATGGAGCTGCAGGAGCCGGAGATGCCGTCATCGCCACCGACCTTCCCCGTTAGTGCAGTGTGTTGTGAGTTTCAAAGACAATTTGATTTTATGAACTTATTACTTATTACTTTTTGCATTTTAATGTATTCCACATGTATTTTGTATTGTATTTTATTATTGTAATTTTTTAATAATTCAATAAATTTCCTTCCCAGCCACAGAGTCTCCAGAGGAGGGGGGATGTTCTCGGACGCGACTAGTTCACGTTCGAGACGCATCGCCCCGCCCTTATTTTTCGCTTTGGCCCCTCCCTGACCTGGAAATCCCCAATCGCTACTTCAGAAAGTATAAAAATAGGCGATTTTCAGGTCAATCAAGTCAGTCCTTCACGGGCTCTCCGAGAGCTTGGTGCTCTTGGGGCTCTGCTTTTTCTTTTAGCCTACCCTATACTCTGTGGCTGAGATTTTTATTCAACTTCAAACTTAGTGTTTTATTTCGACTATTTAGTCGTGTAAGAAATATCTTGCCTTTGTCAAGGCAAGCCACCATAGACTGCATCCTGATGTTTATTTCGACTTATAAGTCATGTAAGAAATAGCTCGTCTTTTTCAAGACGAGCTCATCAGAAGAAAACCTTTTACGAATCCATACCCCGCAAATGGATTCAAGTAGAGGGGCTTTCGTCGACGTTTCCGAACCCCTCTACAGAGCACACGGTGGTACAGAAGGTGATTGAGACCCTTTCCATTTACCCCGAGGTGACAAATCACTCTAAGTTTTTAAAATTGGAATAGGAATACTAGATTATTAACATAATCAAAGAGCGTAAATTAAATATCTTGGCGATGTTAGACGAGGGAGCAATATATTGAAAGATGACGAAAATCATTTTCCAGCTCTCGAGTTTAAATGCTTGATTTGTTGTATTTTCCACATTTAATAAGATAGCCAAAATCGCATATTTGTAGTCTAGGTAATTAAAATAGAGAGTAATGTGGTTCAATAAATGATGCGTCATATTTGCTAAAACCAGAGTATGTTTTATTGTTGTTTGAATAAATAAATATATTTAGATATTTTATTTATTTTACTTATTTATCTAAGGGCCATTAACACATTAAGATTTAAAGGTTTACAGTTTATGTAGTAAATTACTGTTATTTATTATTTATTGTTTTCTATGTTACATATTAAGTATGGTTTCTTCTTTGCTTTTAGCTACCCAAGATGTTGTCTATAATAAAATACACGCCATTACTCTGTCTCATTTATCTGAATTTTGTTTTTGCTATTGATACCTCAGAAAATGAAATTGATGATGGTCATGTTTATCAAAAGCATGCAAAGTATCCAGCAAGTGCAATTCAAGGTAAGCTATATCCATGTATATAATAAATTTTTTAGTATGACTTAAAGGATAACAAATTGGAAATACGTTGCTCAAGATAGAGACCGATGGAAGAAGGAGTTGGGAGAGGCTTATGTCTAAAAATGAAAGATAGAAGGCTAAGAAAAAGAAAAAAAAGAAAGGATAACTATTTACTTGTTGAAACGAAAGTACGGTTCAAATCTAGATGCGAAAGTTGTGTTAAAAGTGTGATCCGATCAAATCAGCAAATTAATAGGACATTCGTGTATATCATAGTCCAAAATGACACGCGACTGAGACTTAGCAACTCAGTATAGCAAGGATAAATTTTTTGTTTTACCAATCAAAAAATAATAGAAAATATGATACATATTAGGTAACAAGTTTTCGAAAAACTCATTATTTACAATTTATTCTTATTCCTATGTAATAAAACGGAAATACAAAATAATTCAAATTCAATTCCAGTTTTACTGTCTTTAGGTGTAAATGCAAAATAATCCGGTGAAGACTGTTTATGTCAAATCTATCACTAAATTCTCAGTGTTAATATCAATTCCTCTGTACAGATAATGATTTTCAAAACAATTGACAATTGTAAATACGTTTATTCAAATACTAGTAACGACTGACATAAATGTTCAAAAGCAAAACGATTTCTGCATAATTTCAAATTAATAAAAAAAATAATAAAAGAAAATACATGTGGGTTTTGAACTCGTCTGCGTCGCAGTGTCGAAGTCTTACCACTAATCCTCGAAGGATTGATAATTATTCCGTCACAAGAGTGTATGAAACTCCTCAAATCATAATGGAAATTATTCTTGGTTAATAATTTAAAACTATAGATTAAATAATCACTATTAATTAAATTATTTTATTCACATTTTTGCTTTATTGTGGTCAATCAGTTTTTACTTAATGCAAAATTAAAAAATGAAAATACGTCACACATACGACGTCAAACATAATAATTATGACCGAGGTGATTTAGCTCGAAGCTAACGTCTAAAGGTGTGAGACTATCGATAGTGGTAATGTAATGTAAATTATAGGTTTCTATCGATTATTTACCACCTCTACGAGTTTCATCTCTTTTTATTTTACAAGGTGACTGTGTTTTCTATCTCTTATGTTAAAAAGCCGGGTGGTAAGACACTCATCACTGTATAATACAATATATTTTAAAATAACCATCAGACAACGACGAACAAATGTTACAGAATTAAGACGAAAATGAGTTAGGATGAATCCTCACTCAGAAATATGTAGAAATAATTAATAAAAATAACCAAACACAGATTTGTTAAAAGTGATATTCTTTATACCTACTTATGTAAAAATTAAATATTTCTCCTATGGCGCTACAACACCGCAGTACCACAGCCATTCAAACTATCCTAGTCATGCCTGTGGAATTCCAATAACAAGCCGGTCCAAGATAATTTCTTTTATGCCTTTCGTTGGTACTGGTGATCGCTGCTGCCCTTCACCAGGGTTGAGGACTAGGAGTGATAACTATGGAGGGTGTAGGATAAAGGATATGGGACATGAGACACGGTGTGAGATGGAGGAATATCATGAGCTAGCGTGGGCAGGGTCGCTAGTCTCTGAAGTAGGTCTGTTTCCACCGGGATCGTGAAACGTACACACCCGCTACCCTGTCTTATAAACAACAGAGATGAATGGGAAGAATTAGTAGAGGCCTATATTCGGCAATCCCAATAGAGAGAAGAGCTTAAAAAAATATTCCATACATATATTAAATTGTTACACTATATTAAACATTATAGTTATCTGGATGGGATCTATCAATTGGTTTTGGACTAGAACTTGCGTTTCCATGTGGGTCATAGTATCTTGAACTAACTTTATCAAGTTCTTCGTTATACCAAAATCAAATCAGTTAATATATTTTTAAAGTTAATAAATGGTTATAGTTAAAAATATCAAACAATTAAATAAAAAAAAATATAAATAAAGGCTGACTTCTTACCAAAGCCGAAAAAGGAAGGAAAATAATGAAAAACTGAAATTTTTAGAAAAACTGATAAAGGGCTAATTTTAGCACGGAAGAATTGGTGATGTTATAATAAATGTCAAAGGTAAAACAATCAGATATATGCTAGACATCCAGGAGTTGCTTAAATAAATACTGGACCTTTAGAGCAAGCAGAACCAGTTTTTTCTGTACTAGAAAAGTTCTTTGCTTCGTATGATATGTACGAACAGGTTTGAGAAAGTGTAATCACTATAACGAATATACTTGTGTCGCTTCAGGTAGAATAAATTTAAAGTGTGCCACATCTCAGTTTTAAGAGAGGTCATATTTTAAAAATAATTTTCGATATCAATTTGTTATAAACTTAATCGTAAATAGAAAATTTGACCTAATAACTGTTTCAAAAATGTAAACATCCACTATAAGAGTTATAAAATTTATAGCTAATGTGCAATGTGTATTAAACCAGAGTGAAGATCTCAGCGGTTTCTTTTATAATCAAAAAATCTCGCATGAAATTAAATAAGCATACTTAAATGATTTATTCAGTTGAATAAACAAAATGATTTCGGTAATTCATGTAAACTAGGTTATTTGGTGGTTAGGGTAAATTACTTAATCGTTAAGGATTGGTCTGGGTAGCGAAAAACTAGGTCTTTACAGGTATTTCGAATAATATTAGAAATATTTCTTAAAATTTATTTATGGTTACCTGTAATGTTTCAACTCATTTCTTTTTGTATTGTTTCTCTACATAGTCGTCTTTACATTCAAGCTTTTGTTGGCAACTCTATTCCTTACAGCATCTTACAGTCGCTATGTACCTATGTCATTTTGTGTGGCACTTCTTTTATTTTGCAATAATGTGTTTATAATTGTCAAATCGACGCTTTTGTTAGTTCTGCTTTAGCATCATTATAGTTCCCACACCTAGTCCTTTAAGTATCGTATTACTACTTTTCTCTATGTTGGAATAGTAAGCAGTAGTCTCCAAATTAATCCTAGAAAGCATTTTTTTCTATAATCAATAAACATTTTTCTATTAAGCATAAATTTCACTATTATTTCACTATCACTCTGGCTTACCACCTCCATCAAGTTCTCCAAATTTTTTTATTATCAGTTTTACCAACTTCATTTATAATATTGCTTTTCTTTATAAACCGCAATACATGTTCTTGACCTAGTTCTTTCGCCCAGTGCATAACTTTCGATAAAACAAATCTCCAAGACAGAAGGCAAAGCATAATAAGTTTTGCGGTTCGATAAGTCACCTATTTTTTTTTTGTTATGTTGGTACATACTTCATAAAAACATATGTAAAGATTTATTTAAATATGGTAATTCATTATTTGTATACAAACCATTTAGTATCAACGTGTCAAAGTACTTTTACACGTTCTTTTACAATAGAAAAAAAATAAGTAGGTGTCAAAGCAAAAGAAATTTATGAACGAACGTTGAAACTTCCAAAAACAACACCAACTTTACCAACTAAATATTTAGCAGAAGCCCTAGGTATTTTATTTTAATATAGTGTAAGCAATATTTTGACTAGAGTATTGGGTTTTAATAATGGAACGATATCATTATAAGGAAAGAAAAGGCCTGGACAACTATGGCCACTTATTCATTCCCACGGTGCCTTATAGAAGGACTTCGACCGGTCTGTTCGAAGTGCTCTCTGCGTATGTTCAATCTTTTGTGGAATATTGTTATTTTGTCATATGCGCATGAAATAAAAACACATCTTTAAAGGTGAAAAAAGTCCGGTCATAGAGTTTCAGTTCGACGAACCAGAGCAGAGCCCCGACAACGGACTCCCAGGGTACAAGAGACCTTATATGAGAGCCGAAACCAGACTGCTGTGAATTGAAAATGTCCCATATTTTTATGTTTCTATATGGCACTTTCTCAGTCGGCCAATAGCAACAATTGTAGATGCTTTAAGGCGGGGCACATCGGTGTGCGTATTAGTTCCCTACAAAGGACTCCGGTGATATCTCCTCCTCTTTCGGAGACTCTGCGCCTGCAAAGAAATTAATGAAAAACATATTTATAGCAAGAAATAAAATTCCATTATTCCATTAAAAAAGATTAGAAAAGTTCATGAAATAAAATCCGTAATGACATGTACATAAAACACAACACAGTAGCTATCGTCTTGGGTCACAACACCCTCGTCTCCGATGACTTCGTTCTTCTCTTGACCATCCCATGTCCGGCCACATATTCTCAGTTCGAAGAATAGGAGCAGAGCCACGACAACGGACTCCCAGGTGGCAACTATCACCAGATGGGAAGGAAGCGCCTGGAAAACTACGGCCACTTATCCATTCCCACGGTGCCTTACAATTCGACTTCGACCAGTATATTCGAAATACTGCTTATATTCCATCTTTGGTGGATACACAATCCTTCTTACATGGAAAATAAATAAAATGCAGTTTAGGAGATAGACAAGGTTCAGCCACAGAGTCTCAATCTTCAGAGAACCGGAGCAGAGTTCTGGCATCGGACTCCCAGGGTACAAGAGACCCTATTTGGGAGTCGAGATTTGAAAATGTCGCATATTTATGTTTCTATATGGCATTGTTAGTTCACTTGGCCAATAGAAAAAAAATTAAAGATGTTTTGAGGCAGGTCAATGCGCATCGGGGTATGTATTAGTCCACGACTAAGGCCTCCGGTAACCCAACAAAAACACATAGTCCAGTAACTCGGGCGAAAAGTAGGACCTTACCGCCGGATCTGCCGGATTGCATGGATTTGGCTGAGAATTTGAATTTAATCTTATCTTACCGTCCTTTGCAAAAGTTAAATATGGGTAAAGTGTGCTTTTTGCTTTTGAGAAGTTAAAACTACCCATGAGTGAAAAAATAAGAAAACACATATTTAAGCGTTTTATGTACTAAAATCTAATTGAATTAAGTAAAATAAACATATGCAATGATAATTTGTTTTTTAATAGAAATTTTCAACCTTTAGAAACATCGCATATGACGTAAATAAATAAAGAAAACAATTTTTTACGATGTAAAATGCTTAACATATGAATTAAAATCATTTACATCATTCACAACAATTTATTCGTTGTTTGTGAAATGATGTTTTATTGTTTTGAAATTTTTAACCCCTAGAAAACATCCCTTTATGAAAAAAAAAACTTAAAAACCTATTTATAGTTTAAAATATTTTAATTTTCCATTTAGATAACTAAAACTCATTCATTACTTATAAAACGATATTTCTTAAAAAAAGTTTTGTACGCATTACAATACTAAACGTATTATTTACCTAACATTATTTCTTGGGTTGCAACTTTTTTAACCCTAATACTTTTATAACCTTATAATTTTAACCCCTGTAATAATAACAATACGAAGCACTCAATATTATTTGTTGGTGCCGAGATCTTCATCTACAAAACTAAAATGCTTACATGCTTGTACTTTAGATATATGGGAGCTCCAAAATACGTATATTTTTCACGCTCTAAAATTATCTCCCAAAAATATCATTGGCTTTTCTTCACTGAGTCACTTTTTAAGCTTTTATATATGTTTGCATAGTAATTTGAAAGGCAATTTTAAGGGCTACAAGGCTAGGTTCATTGGAAAGCCAAACTACCCTTTAATTTTGAAAAATAAAGGTTCTCTAATAAAAACTCTATAGGTTTGTTCCAACTCGATACAAAACCGTTCTTGAATCGTTACACGCATGCGGAGTAACGAATAATTATGCGCAGTAACACATTTTTCGTTACTGCGCGGTTCACGAACCGTTCAAGAACGGTTTTGTATCGAGTTGGAACAAACCTTATAAAACAAAAGTTGCTTAGAATTAAATTCTCTATCGATTCCCGTAATTATTTTGAGCAAAGAATTTTAACCTTTGAGAAGGGGCGGCACCTACCCCTAGGGCCGATGCACAGATCGGCGTTATATAACTTTTGATATTGGAGCATTTTTCCATCAACTCAACAAATTTCAAGTGAATTGATTCAGTACGATAAAATTGGAAGGTAAATAAACCGAGTGACTTTAGTAACATTCCTATGTGAGTTTCTCAGAAATATTTAGAGCGTTTTCGAAAAATAAATTAGATTTTGTGCATCGATTCAACCTATGAATCAGACTTGGCTTCATAACCATGATCCCAAATCAAAACAAGAGCACAAAGGGTGGTGTAGTCCTGATTCTTAGGCTCCAAAACGAGTTCGTATCCAGAAATCGGCCAAGACGGTGTAAGCATCAGTTTTTTGTGATACGAAAGAATGTTTGTTTGTGGATTCCTTGTAAACTGGTAAAACAGTAAATTCTGAAGATTATTCTAACCTTTTACACCAGCCGAAGGAAAAAAATTGTGATAAAAGGGGTTGGGATTGCAAAAGAAAAATTCCTTTTCATCAGTATAATGTCATCACCGTGCCATAAGCATTTTGACAATGGCTAAAATCCATGAATTAAAGTTCATTGTATTCAACACATTTGGCCCCTCGCGACTTCCATCTATTTTACTACCTGAAAAAATGTATTCGTGGAAAACGTTACAATCGAGTTTTCCTTGTCGAACCGCAAAACCTATTAAACAACGTATTATATTATGCTTCTTACGTTGCTTTAGGTTTAGGCATAAAGTAAAATTTGGCTTTACCAATCATAGTTTCACATAAAACGTTAGAGACAATTTCTAGGCAATCCTATGTTTGATATTTGAAACACTTTTTAAATAATTATATTACTATTTTTGTTTTAGATGAAGTCGATATTCTTCAGCTGCTCAATATCTCATCAAAGGATCAAGGTGTTTCTTCAGTAGAAGGTCCAATCCGAAATTTTCCGGCATATAAATTTAGACTACCATACGGAAACGTTCTTTTATCCAATGCCACCAACGTCACTCTATCCATGAACAATCCCAAAGGGTTCACAGCAATTTTTCTAATAAGACAGCAAAAAAATAATTTGGGAACTCTCATGTCGGTGAATTCTCCTGGAAGACTGAGTCCATGGTTTCAAGTAATTTCAAACTCGAGAATAGGTGTGCTTACAGTAAAGTACAGACTGAAGGGAATGAGTAAGATCAAACAAATTGATTGGGGGTTGCCTAAGCATCATCGGAAGTCTCCTATGGCAGGTAATAATTTCTTATATGCAAATCACCGTAAAGAGTAATTTGAGTATTAGAAGGATTTTCTTATAAGAAGGATTTATTAGAAGGACAAAGACTTCTTGATTTATTGTAATATTTTGTGTACTTTCCTAAGAAATAAAATTTGTTATTTCTGTTGTGTGTTTTAGCATGGACTTGGCTTTCAATCTCCTTTGATCCCAAGGACGGCATTATCCGATTAGATTTGGACTGCGATCCGAGCAGATTCGAAACAATAAAGCAGAAAAAGCATTTGGGCAACTTCAGTGTTCCTTTTGACTCACTTGTTTATTTTGGACAAGAACCAGGGCGAAAGAAAAAGTTTTTGGTAAGTATTGCGCAGTAAAAATCAAATAAAGTTTTAATTTGGTCTAATAGAAAATACAAAGTTTGAAATATTAAAAAACCATATATTAAAAAGTATTTTAGCTATTTACAACGAATACTTATAGTTCCGAAAATTTTTAAGTAAAACGTTGCAAACGCACTGAAGATGAAACGCACCGATTAAACTGTAGAAGAATAACTAGAAGACTGCTTTTTACTCCCAGTAAAATTTAAAAAACTAATAGCTTAAAGCAAACATTTAGTCAGAACACCTAGTAGAAAGCTTAGTGGAACCAAAGAATATAGACGCATAGTGGAACTATGGTGGGATGAGGGCCAGAAGGAAGACCAAGGAAGAGGTAGATAAAAAAAGTGCCAACCAATGCTACAGAGATATTAAGTGTGTATACCCGGAGGACAGCAAGGAAAAAGATGCTGGAGGCGGATACTGGAAGAGACCGGGGCCCGACAGAGGATGAAGCACTATTGAAGAGAGAAAATTGATAGTTTGTAAGGAACTCAACGCGCAGTATGTAAAATCAAGTCATTATTTAATTGCAATAACAGAGTCTCAGATGGAGTACAATTGTTTCTACAATTCTTGACAAACAATTTAAAATATTCTTTAATTGGCGCGAGCTTATCAAACTATTGTCTTTTAGTCCTTAGGTGTATATTTTCAAATGTTAAGCAACTTCAAAGAAAAATGAATAATTGGAGAATTCAAATAATTATAGTCAAATAAAACATTTTTACACCTGTTCCGTTATTTTTCCAAAGATCTTGTCAACATATTTGCCTTGTAGAATCTTGCTAAGTATAGCAGTCCGATACACGCTCTTATTTCATAAATGTCACTATACCTCATTTAACTGGATTCTAAATGTTTTTCCTTTTAACTACCCTTTGTCAATATGTGATGAAGGGCAGCAGCGATCATCAGTACCAGCTCAAGGCGCAGAGGAAATAGTCCTGGATCGGCTTGAAACTGAACTATCACAGGCATGACCGGAACAGCTTAAATGGAAGTTACCCACAGATACTAAAGAGATCATAAGAAATCAGATCGATTATATAACAATTACCGAAAGGTACCGAAAGGTACTGAAATTCAATCAAAATATTTAAAACACTACCTGGAGCCGATGTCCCCTCAGATCATAACTTATTATTCAGTGACATAAAATTCAAACTTGAAAAATTAAAACGCCAACAACCGACTAACCGAATAAACACTGACTGTATTCGAAATACTAGTCATAAATTTATACACGAGTTAGAAAAAAGTTCGAAAAATTCGAAGAAACACATAACGTCGAAGACCACTGGAAGCATGTCAAAATCATTATGCAAAAAATAACTAAAAAGTATAAAACTATTCAGAAGCGCAAACAACAATAGAAACTAGACTAATAGAAAGCAGACAAAAACAAAAAAAATAAAAACACTGAGGAATACAATAAAATCCATAAAGAAATCAGAGGGATAATCCGGAATGCAAAAGAAAAATAGTACAGCAACAAATGTATTGAAATAAAAGAAGTGCAAAAAAAGAATGACACGTTTAATATGTATAAAAAGGCGAAAGAAATAACTGGAACATGCAGATCAACTGCAAGTAGTTTACTTGATAAACCAGGAAATATTATAGTCAATAAACAAGACAGATTAAAGAGGTGGAAAGAATATATTGAGGAGCTGTTTGATGACGATAGAACCCAAAATTCAAATTATAACACATAACACTCGATGAAATGGAAAGAGCTATAAAGCTATCAAAAAATAAGAAAGCAACCGGTCTAGATGAAATTCCAAGCAAAATAATCAAACTTCTTCTTCTTCAAGTGCTCTGTCCGTTGCGAACGTTGGCTATTAACATGGCAATTTTGATCTTGTTTGCGGCGCTTCTGAATAGTTCGACCGATGTGAGCCCGAACCACTTCCGCAGATTTTGGAGCCACGAGTGTCTTCTTATGCCTGGCCCTCGCTTACTGTTTATTTTTCCCTGGACAATCAATAGTAGCAGACGGTACTTATCGTGTCTCAATATGTGGCCTAGATATTCAAGCTTTCTTTGTTTAATTGTATTCACGATCTCTTTCTCCTTTCCGATTCTTTGGAGTACCTCTATGTTGGTGACATGTTCGGTCCAGGATATATGAAGAATGCGTCGGTACACTCACATTTCGAATGCTTCTAGTTTCCTCGTTAGCGTCTCCGTCAGCGTCCAGGCCTCCACGCCATACAGCAAGATCGGAAAAATGTAGCATTTAACTAGACGTAGTTTTAAGGAAAGAGACAAATCCTTGCTTATGAGGAGCTTTTTCATATTGCTAAATGCTGCTCTAGCTCGTTCTATTCTCGCCTTAATTTCTATGGTCTGTTCCCATTTTGCATTTACGTTGGTGCCAAGGTACACATAAGATTCTACATGATCAATTAGTATGTTACTTATCCGTAATTGTCGAGCAGGTTGTTGCTTTTTGCTTATTAGCATCCACTTTGTCGTCTTGAAGTTGAGGCTCAGGCCGTATTCCTCACTAACTGCATAAAGTCTTTCCATTACTTGTTGTAATTCGTCTATGGTACTGGCAAGGATCACCGTGTCGTCGGCATATCTTATATTATTCGTTAACTCGCCGTTTATTTTTATGCCCTCATTTGCATTTTCCATACATTTGTTAAATATTTCCTCGGAACACATATTGAATAGGAGTGGGGATAATATACACCCCTGACGGACACCTCTTTTGATCTGCACGCTTTCAGTGAGTTCGTTGCCAATTTTTGCTCTTGCTGTTTGATTCCAGTATAGGTTTGCCACAATTCGAATGTCCTTGTCGTCAATACCTGTCTTTCGCAGAATACCTATCAATTGTTCATGATTGACATTGTCAAATGCTTTTCTAAAATCTACAAAGCACAAATACACGTCCACATCAACGTCTCTACACCGCTGTATAAGCACTTGGAAAGCGAAAATTGTTTCTCTAGTTCCAAGTGCTTTCCGAAAACCAAACTGCGATCTATCAATATTTGACTCACATTTATCATCTATGAATGATCTTAGTGAACGCTTTAGTGACATGATTGATCAAGCTTATAAGCCGGTAGTCATCACAAATCTGGGCATTTGGTTTCTTCGGGATTGTAATAAATGTTGACTGTAGCCAGTTCTCCGGGATTTTACCGCTATTATAATGTTGTTAAAAAGTACAACTAGATCATCAAGGAACTGTTTGTCTGATTTACATAGGATCTTTAAGATTTCGCAGGGTACATTGTCCGAACCTGCTGACTTATTGTTTTTTAGTGCTGCAATAGCATCTTCTATCTCCGATTTAAGGATTGAAGGTCCTGTTTCTCCTTCTCCATATAGGTGATCATCAGTCCTGTCAGATGTAAATAATTTTTCTATGTATGATTTCCATATTTTTTTTTCCATATAATCAAACTACTCGACGATAAGGGTAAACATTCTCTTCCAAGCCTCTTCAATAAAATATACGAAACAAGACATATACCAACAGAATAACAAGTGTCAACATTTGTAATAATATCGACAAAAAATAAATTCCAAACAGTGTAGCAATCATCGCACTATCAGGCTAATGAGTTATGTACTGAAAATTTTCCTAAGAATACTGCATTCGAGAATTTACAACAAAAAATAGAAGTACAACTAAGTGACACAATTTTGTTTCAGAAACAACCTTGAAACCAGAGAAGCTCTCTAAATCATGATAAACTTATAGGTGTCTTGCAACAGGTGGGAATTGATGACCGACACCTCCGTATTATCAAAAATTTGTATTGGCATCAATGTACAAACATACGAATTGAACACAACACGACCACGAAGCAGTGGAAATGCGACGTGGAGTGAGGCAAGGATGTGTTCTGTCGTCCTACTTTTTAATATCTACTATGAATTAATTTTCAAAGAAGCCTGAGTTGAAGATACAGGCATTAAAATCAACGGAATTAATGTCAACACTCTCAGATATGCAGACAACACGGTACTTATTGCCTCTAATGAAGAAGACCTGCAACGACTTATAAACAGGTTAACCGAAGCATGTGATGAATATGAGTTAATACTTCTTAGACATATTACAACTTATGGTAGTTAGCAAACATCAAAGCGTATGGAATAGAGTTAGAAAGAGTCCACAATATTACCTTTTTGGACACAAACGTTAACGATAACTGGAATATAAATAAATAAATAAGAATATGCATTAAATAGCCAGAGCTGCCTTGTATAAATTGAAGGAAATTCTAATTAATAGAGATATTCCGTTAAACCTTAAAATCAGATTAATACGCTGCTACATATTCACCTCATTGCTGTATGGTATGAAGAGCTGGACCCTTACAGATACAATAATGAAAAAATTATAGGCCTTTGAGACGTAGATTTATCGACGGGTACTGCGGATAAGTTGAGTTGATCGAACAAGAAATGAAATAGTTTTACATCGAATAAAAAAGAACACAATTAATAACAAAAACGATAAAAATTCGAAAGTTACGATATTTCGGTTATGTAATGAGACATCCAGAGAGGTATAACCTTTTACACCTCATAATAAAGGGTAAGAACATCGGTAGAAGCGGCCCAGTCAAAGAAGAACATCCTCGCTTCGAAATCTCAGAATGGTATTATGAGACTACTGATAATTTATTTAGAGCCGCCGTAAACAAAGTTATTATTACCAATATGATCGCTAACGTTCAATAATCCGACAGGGTACTGAAAGAGGAAGAAGATAGTTAATACGGATAGTGTATACGTCTTCTTCTTCTTTTCATGTAGACATGACTCTGTGATCGTTCCATTCAACTCTTCTATTTCTTACTCAGGCCTTAATGTTCTCCACCTTGCATCTACGTCGTATATCTGTACTTATAGCTCTGTCTTATAGTGTTTTTTATCAATTTTTCTAAGTGATTTCGTCTCTGTTGTTTCTAGCATCCTTTTTGTCCTCTCTGTGTCAGGTCATGTTTATGCCGCATATGTCATTATTGGTCTGATTACTGTTTTGTAAATTCTGCCTTTAATTTGTTTTCCGATATTTTGATTTTTCCATATTGTTTCATTCAGGCAACCTCTCTGTTTGCTCTATTCACTTGATCTTTTACTTTCTTTTTGAGCTTTCCGAAACTAGGAACTAAATATAGTTCTTATGGTATTTATTAATGGTATTTATGAGCCTTGTTTGGCCATTTCATTTCTTTTTTATTGCTTTTATGATCCTCGTGCTATGGTACCAAGACTAATATACCCTTATTACTAGTTGATTTAGAGCACCCACACAATCCAAACTAGCTTATAATTTACCTTTACAGCACAGAGCACCTTAAGCAATTTCTGGCTGGCTGCGAAGATGGTAATTGTACGGTGCGTTCTTTTCTGCCTTTACATTTCTTCCACGTAGACGATCTACAGTAAGGAGGTAAGATCACTATACTCAAGGCTAAAGATGTCCAAAGCCATGGAAATTATTTTCTAGAGGAGTGAACAGGAAGCCTAAAATAAGCTATAGGAAAAAAATGATAAAATCGTGAGTGGAAGGGACCTAGAGAAACGAGGAATGACCGATTAAGTTGAAGTGAAGATTGATATAAACACGTTGAATAATGTTGTAACAGTCATATATAATATTAAATACTATTTGTATTCATTTAATTATGTTACATAATAAATAATTTTTGTATTTTGCAGGGATCCATCCAGGTTGCAAAAGTCTTACCGTACATTTTAGAACAAAGGCTATGGTCTTGCGTGCAGATAGCTACCAATCTTTCTCCTGAGTTTAGAAAACCAGTCTCCTAAATAATTGGTCTTTGTCAACAATATTTAAATTCACAATCCTAATCCATGGTCCTACGTTTTTATTATTTTTTTTTTATTCTACACATCCACTATTGGGTGCTTTAGATAACAGGCACAAATCCACGCTTCTTACCCTCGATTATAAGATGTAGAATTTTTTATTTTTTTTATTTTTTAATGATGATTTCATACACTTATTCCCATATATGTAGGCTTGTCATTATATGTTATTAGCTAATCCAAATCAACGGGTCCCATTATTTTAAAGACTGAATTGGCAAGAGACTATAGAAAATTGCAAGAGAAAAATCAGTGGTACCTTGTTTTAAAGGTTCTTTTCTTGTCTTATATTATTATATTTTATTTTACGAACTTCAACAAAAACGAGTCTTCTTACGAACGAATGAGTTAATTGTTCTTCTGGAATTTTTTCTTTTTCTATTTTAAATCTTTACTCGAAATAGTCGCATTTTGCTTTTTCTGTGTGGAATAAATAATAAGGAATATTAAAAAATATGAAAAAAGCCGTTATCAATATTTTCCACCCACATTTTTTAAAGGACAAGCTACTTTACAAATAAAAAAAAGTTAGACTACTACTGTATATAAAAGTGATCTCAATAGTGTCAGTTATTGATCTGTACTTGGCGAACAAATTGATTTGGAGGACTACCATCTATAAATTTAACTTATCAAACAAATTAACCTAATCATTAGTTGAAAACTTGTTCACAAGCACGGTAAATCAATCAGAGAAGAAAATTAACTGCCGAGAGGGAAATTCAGGCACAGTAACCTAAATACTCAGTGTATTCGTAAGTAAAACGGAAATCAATCAAAACTCTTCTGCAACAGCCCTTACATAAGTAGATGTCGGGTCATTGAACATTGTAATACCCCTTTAAATGATACAAATCGCTGTCTCAGGCCGGATCGGACAAAACTGAAGCGAAGTTCTTCATCGGCGAAGAGAAATTGAAAATACAGTCGTTTACTTTTGTTTAGTCGTTTGTCGGTAAATCAATACAGTTCAAAAGGAGTTGAAAGCTGATGTATACCACGTACTTACCCCACCAAACCTTCCGACGCCACTATGGACAAGTACGGTCGGTGTCCTGGTAATATTACTATAGAGTGGTGGAACGAAGTTGTATTGGAATTTTTACCATTAAATAAAATACCCAGCTTACTAAAATTTTTACCGGCAATACTGGTGAACTTCGATCTCGAAGGGACACGCTTCATTGAAGTAGTTAATAAAAAGTAAATATTTATTAATTTTACCAACACGGGGTGGGGTACTAACCGTATTCTCTTTAATTTTTTTTGTTATATCTTTTTTATTTCTCTTTACCGACGTAAGCCAGAGAAGAGCCCTTCCATGTTCTATAATATACCGTCTTCACGCGTATCTTTTGGTGCGTGTGCGCGTGGTGCGAATTTTGTTGAATATGAAGTAGATATTTTAAAACAAAAAATTTTTTTAAGAAAGAGTGGGTGTTATTCAAGCATTAGGGAGAAAATACCAGTTCTGATAAATCCCTAATGTTCTTGGATTCGGATTTTGGCAAATTGAGCAGTTTCTTTATCGTATAGGCGACCAAGTACCTTAAGTTCGAAATAAAGGTGGTTTTGGACAGTTAAGGTAGTCGACTAAATAAAAAATAAAAATGGTCTAATGGATAAGAAAATTTACACCGGGATCGTGTTGGGCTAATTAGCGATTGTTTAAAACGTGTACGTAATGGTTTTTGTGAGTCTGTTTTCTGATCTAATCAATTATTTAACATACGAATGACCAGGCACATCGATAAATTGACATTATCTAGTTGAATGAATAAAGTTACCGTCACTAACAGCCTTATACTACTTCTAAAGAGGTTACTTACAATGAAAGGAACACGTTGATATCGATTTACACACAAGTAGACCATGCAAGATATTGTGCGAATTAGGAAAACTACTCGTTAATTTTGATTTTGGCTGTAGAAATCTCTGATTTCATCACCTGGAAGCCAATACAACTTCGTTATCATTCTATTTACTATACTATATTTATTATCTTGTAACCTCGGAAACCTTTTTTGGATGGTGCTAGAAAGGTCACCAATGGAGACACTGCGGACGGCAGCCAGATGGTTGGTGGAGAGCGTGTCGTGGGTTCGAAACTAGCTTTTGGAACCGAGAATGGATCCAACTTATGAAATAAGTAAAGATAGGATAAGAGATATTAGAAAAGATACAGAAATAAACAAAAAGATAGACGCGTAAAATTACCAAAGATACGATAAGATAGAAACAGGGCGCCACTGAATTTTTTGGGGTTAAGGAAAGAATTAAGAAACCTTAGAAAAAATAAGAGACAAGGAAAGATATTTAGGTTCAGAGATCAAACTCAAGAAAAGATACCAACAGTTAATTATCAAATAAATTTGGTCAACACATTACATAAACAAATATTAAATATTACACTTACTTACCTATGAAACTTAATCAGCCTGATCTTTCTACTTGTCAAAGGTATAGTTATATTTAAGGGTAAAAGGCAAATACTTAGAGTTACTATTTTATCAGGGAACTTGTTAGGAGCCGACAAATAAAATACATACATAAAACAATCACAATATATTCAACAACAAAATTATGACGTTGCTAAATGCAACAGAAGTAATAAAAGCACACCAACAACTATAAAATGGTGGTATACATATAAAAATAAGGAGTAATATAATTAGAAAATACCTTTACAAAGATATATAATACAATCATGTACAGAAAAAGTGTTATGGGCGTACCTCGAGATATTACAAAAAAACTGAATAAAAATTATAACAAACACAAAAGATAACCAAAGCTAAATTTACAAAAATACATAAAGGTTACATACATAAAACTTTAACCAAACCGCACTTGGTTTAGTCGATTAGCTATCTCACACTATAATTTAATGATAAACAGACTTAAATGTTCATATTTACTACTTATTGAAATTTCTTGAATTTAATGAAATGTTCTTTAAATTGAATAAAAAAATCAGCAATCTACAGGTGAAGATATGGAGGAACTCTAGATACGTCCAGATAATTGCAGTTAATATGATACTATACCATATTATTTGCCCAGATTATTGGAGATACTAAGATTATGGTAACTTACAGTAATTTCTGATGACTGCTGCCTAATTCACTGAAGTTAAATACTGTACTTAATACTTTACTTGTATCAAACACTAAATTTAATTACCATTAAAGGTACTTTAGAACTATATATAATCTAATATAGTATCCTTACGTAAGTAGTCCTTACGCAAAGACTCACGAAAGAAGTCTCACGAGATATCGGCCTTTACTCAACAACGGTTCCCCGAGAAGTAACTTGGTTTTTCTAAAATTTTACAAACTACCCAAGGAAAAAGAGGGGATATCTCCTACTTAGAAATCGTAGGCCAGCCTGTATCTATTTCTGAGAAGGAACGATTGTAACGACATCGGAAAGTTTGAGGTATTTACGGCAATAATAATTGGACGTGATCAGAAATACAATCCTTTGGATTATGTTATTGTCAAAAGATTACTACACGTGCCTTCGACGAAAATTACCAATTTATGAAAAAGAACCCGCATACCGAAAAGCATTAGTTCCTTTCATACTCGGGATTAAGAAGGAAAATATTAACAACCTTTCTTAATTAGGGAAATTCTGCGCTAGTTTGCTAGGTAGATGCTTTCTTCATATTTCGGTAGTTTTCAATAATATTTTCTAATCGTAAACACGATCATCGGCGTATCATCCACATGGGTAAAAGGAATTAAAAATAATTTAATATATTATTTTAAAAAATGTTACAATCTGTTTGGGAACAGAGCTTCTCCAATTAACGTTTTCCACATGTTTCTACCCTGCATTATACAAGTAATAATTCCTTGTTTTATTTCTCTTTTAATTTGCCAATATTTATTGCAGTACGTTGTATTTGATATTTTAGAGTTTACTTTTTGTGCCGGGTCCAGACCAAGCAGACAAAACGAAAACACAATTCTGAAACAAAAACACGATAAATCGGCGACAAAATTTGTCGTCAAAAAACAAAACAAAATTGAGACAAACTGTCCACACCAGAACAACAAAATATAAAAACAAAATTCAGTTGGTGACGTTGTTGTTGTGATTAGTGTTGGTTAACCATGTGGCGTTTTAATCAAGAAAAAAATGAAACTGAAGATTTATTGCTAGCCGCAAGTTGTTTTTTTTTGCTCTCATCATCATCCCAGGTTGCTAAACGAAAACCCAAACGTTTTTGGATTCGACCAAGCCTAAAAATGCGAGAAAGTTGTTCGATAGACAAATTGTTAGTTCAGCTGCGCGCAGATGATATTGGACTAAGTGGTGAAATTCGATCAAGCTTCAAAAATTTTTTAAGAATGTCCACCGAAGATTTTGAGAATCTAATATGCCTTGTTGGTCCTGCAGTTGCAAAAAGACATACTAACTTTAGAAATGCTATAAGTGTAACAGAACGTTTAGCAATCACTTTAAGATTTTTAGCAACAGGTGATTCCTACCATAACCAAACCATTTTGAACTGAAATGTTTTCCAGCCCCAGATTTTTTAAGTTTCTTGTAGTTTCGTCTTTCTCTAGCATACTGGTTGTTAACATTCTTTATTTTTTTTTCAACATCATTTAGTGGCACATTTAGCGATAAAGAAATTTCCTTTAATGCATCGGCTTTCTTGTAGCGATTTTTATAATCTTTATTTTTAGGGTCCCATAATATCGGATGCTCCCTGTAAATTTCTATTAACTTGCATGTATTTTGTGTATTCCACTTTTTGTCCCCCGACATGTTTATAAAAATACACTAGTATTTATTTATTCACTACACAACAGAAAAATACACTTGATTTTGATAAAAATTGTACATTCTATTTCCCCTACTGCTTAACTCGTTTTGGCACGCACACGCGTCCACACTGCGTCGACAACTTGTCGTCAAAAACACAGACAAAACACAGACCTTTTGATCTTTACCGACCTGAGACGGGACCTGAAAAAGTTTTCAAATCTGCAAACAAAACAAAATTGTTTCAGAAATGTCTCATCAAATGTTTTCGATTTGTCGCCACTTTGTCGCGAAACATGAATGTTTTTGTTTTGTCTGCTTGGTCTGGACCCGGCATTAGGATTTTTAGTTTTGTCACACAACACTTTCTTTCATTACTATTTTCTATATTGCTTATCTTAGCTACTGAAATCGTCTTTACCCATTTCCGTATTACTCTTCTTAAATTGATTGTACTTAAAAACCTAAAAGTATATTTTTTTAAGTAGTTAGATGATCCAAAGTAGACCTTTATGCAGTTCCACTCTTAAATGAAATTTATCAGTATTTCCTACACATTAGTTGTTAGACCACTAACATCATTTATTAGTTTTAATAATAATAACAATGTCGTATCGTATTCTTGCCGATGAGATACTTTGGGCAGGTTCCGGTGCCAATTACGTCTTTAACCACGTTTCAAGTAACTAGTGTCGATGCACCCTAAACCAGGGGGACCAACAGCTTTATGTGTCCCTGAAGTTAAAGATATTAATAGTAAATACTAATACTAAAATCAAATAAATATAATTTATATTTAACCACAAGCTATAAATATAAATAAATACAAATAAAGTGTGGATTATCAATATTTAAGTTGAGCTAATCAACAATATATTTCATCAATCATCTTCATGTACACTGATGTACATCTTCATGTACACTGATGCATGTACCCAGCATTAGCTTTATTTTATCATTTTATTGTCTTTAGTTTTACTAGCTAATGATATTTTGATATGATATTAAAAAATATTCTTTGAGTTGCTTTGTCCATGAATTAGGATATTGATAAATGTGATATTCAGCCAACGAAGATGGCAGAGCGTAAAAAGAATAACATTGTGTATAATTTAGCTGCAATAAATAACGTCGTATATTTAAATATTACCTTAAAATATTTAAAACTATTTTATAAAAATAAACCTGTAATAATAAAAGTTCCAAGAGTTGACTTAAAATGATTTGTGATTTGTAAGAACTAAGAAATAAATACCTAAACCAGTATTTTGTCTTTTTACTGTAATTATTACATGCTTTATTAAATGACATACCTTCAATCTCCAAGCAATCAATTTTTGTTATGAACAAAGGCTGTTTAAAAGTTATTGCTTCTGTCAAACTAAGCTCTAATTCGAAGACAGAAACACATGCTTCTTAGCCATAGTATGTAGGTGCCATCTAGTATGAGTTGTAGAGAATAGCAACTAATGTGTGTGTTTGAACTACATACCAGCCACTTTAATTCAATATAACTTGAATCTGTTAGAAATAATTACTGTAATCTTCTTTTTTTTATCTTATTTAGTACCTGTGCACCTACAGTGCTTTGCGATTATCTTAAGGCCAGATGTCTATCCTTTGTGAAATGACAGTGTTCGCTAGTGTTATGTTATTTACGTCTGTCCAGGGCCCTGATTCTAATTGAGATTTCGACTGAAAACATGTTGAAATCAATATGGCGACGTCGAAATGCGACTTTGCGAGCCTAGTGGATTTCAGCTGAACTAACCAAAGGACGTCACTAAATTTCGATTTATCGAAATTAATTTCAAGTTCAAGAAAGTGGTTGAAATTTAATTTCGAGTCGAAATTAATCTGACATGACTAGCGGGTCTGGGAGAAGCGAGGTTAGGTTCAGTTTAGTAGGCGGTGTTGTTTTGTTTGATTGTTGCAACGAAAACTGAGGCAAAAAGTATTAATATGGCTGCGTTTTATCAGAAATTGTATGTGATTCGGCACATAATTGGTCGAAATTTTAACACCTATAAAAATAGAACTGCGGTACCTGGGGGCCCCAAGCCAGATGGTACTGATTATTTTTTAAAATATACTGTGGACGACTGTGGTGTAAAAATTAAAGAAATAAAATGTCCCAATATTAAAACTAAATTGGAAACCACAATTTTTGAATATATTCAACAGGCTGTAATGGAAGATAGAAATAATAAATAATTTGGTTGTAATAATTTATTTTAATTCTACACTCTTATTTGGAGATTTAAAATAATCTTTAAACTCATCAAGAATTTTTAGAGCTGTAATGTATTGTTTTTAGTAATACCAATAATACTAAGCTGCAGTAAATTTAAAAATATAATATAACCACTAAGTCAAAAGCCATCATTATTTTTTTTTTTTCATCCACAGACAATTTAGTGCCACCATCACCAATAGCCTCCATCCATTTTCTTTTAATTCAAAATATAATCATTGAGAATGGCCACTAAAAATTTAACAACTCAAACAAGAAACAAAAATCGTAAAATGTAAACAAAACTACAAAACAAACATTTAACAAGCGTGCAGCCAATAAACAAGACGGCCAACCCAAATTCTGAGCAGTGTCAAAATGATAAAGTAAATGTCCCCACTTTTAAATAGTAGTTTTAAACAGTTTTAAACAGTAAATTTTAAAGCGACTACATGGGGTAGTCGCTTTTAAATTTCGACATTGAAATGAAATAGAATCAGGGCCCAGTTCTTTATATTCCGTAACCATGACATTTGTTTGCAACCCACGTCTCTCTTACTCTTAAAATTGTCTCGAAAAAATTAGTTTAGCGATTGCATCTCTCATGCTTTTCAGGATATGTTCTAGCTATTCGATTTTTCGTACGTTGATCAAGTTGAACATTTTTTTTTAGTATTTGCCCTTCTTAAGACTTCCTCGTTTGTCATCCTAGTTATCCATGGTACACGGAATATTCTTCGCAGGGTTCACATTTCGAAAATTTGCAACTTATTATTCTTTTTCTTTCTCTTTATAAGCAATTCTGCTTGTTCATTGTAGGATTCATACCTCAATGGAAGGTTGTCACGTCATCTTTTGCGCAGTCGTCCGATATTTCTTTTGTCGATTGGTGACTTGCTATTTTGACGACGGGGGTATCATCCATTCTTCTTATGTGGTTATTCCATTCTTTTTTGCTGTTTTGTGTCCATTCATTTATACAGTGTTTTTCTTCTCTTTCAATCTCTCAGCTTCCTGTAATTCTTCTTAGTACTGTTATCTCTGCCGTTTCTAGTAGTCTTTGCGTTGTGACTGTGTCAAGTCTTGTTTCTGAGGCATATGTCATTAATGGTATTACACTGGCTTTATATGTTCTTGACCTTATCTCGGAGTTAATGTGTCTGTTTCGCCATATAGTGCTATTAATGCATTCTGCAAGTCTATTTTCTTTTTGTACTTCATCTCTTACTTCTCCAGGTCCAGGTCTCCATAGCTAAACAGTGTAATTCCTAGGTATTTTATTTCCATTACTTGTTCAATACTGATGCCATCAATTTCTATTTTACATCTGGTTGGTTCAATTCTTCTGCTTCTATGTTAAATTTGTGGACCAGTATTTGCGGACTATCTTCATCTTGGGCTATCAATATTGTGTAGTTTGCGTACCAGTGTATTTTTATTTCTTTGTTTTCCATTCTGTATATTTTTTCTTTGTTAACGCTTTGGATGATTTCATCCATAAATTAAATAAAGAGCATGGGGCTCAATGAATCTCCTTGTCTTATTCCGCTGCCTATTTCTATAGGTTCTGTAAGTTATGTTCTATTCTGACTTCCATCTTGTTGTTTTTGTAAATGTTTTTGATAGTTTTTATAATATTTAGGGAAACTTCTCCATTATAAAGAAGATGGATTACATCTTTAAGTCTTACTCTATCAAACACTTTATTTAGGTCAACCATACACAGAATTGCTGGTTTATTATACTCAATAAACTTTAACAATAAAATTTATTATACTTAATATTTAACTTAAAGAAAAAAAAAATAAAAACATTTAACATAACATTTATCTTTTATTTAGCAGTTGACTTCTCTCGAGGAATTTGATCACCTTGTTGATTTGATCGATGTTGTCTAGAGCCTCTTTAAAGATAGTACTGATACCGAGCTGTTGGCGTATTTTGGCATAAAATGGACATTTAATAAGTATATGTCTAAT